AATACATTGAACCAATCAAAACTCGAAGTAATTACATGTGGCTGACGCAAAGCGCGGGAAAATGCATGCGAGCGCGTCACAATTGGCTTTGGTTTTACTTCTGATTGGATGAAAAGGTGGCGCGAATCTTTTAAGCCAATCGCATCGTGTAGAAAGTGCAAAACCAATTACTTTTCGACACTCAAATGAAAACCGCTCTATCCACTTATTTTATCCATTTACGCTTTCTTGCTTGAGTATATATAATCGCTTACCGTATTTAAACTATCATTGTATTTCTACCGAGGAAGGACTGACAAGGGAGCTGTTATCTATAGTTTGAAACTCCCAAATCCCAATATTGAATTTGGTATATTATAAAGTTGTTTGAACTCTGAATTAACACAATTTGGTTGTTTAGTTTAACGAAACTACCTCCTTTACGGTCCTCAACTCGGTACCTTATGTAAAGGCAATAATTAAACTACGTGATGGGAAAAACCTATATTCCTGTAATGTGACGTATATATATATTCTACTAAGCCGTTTCCAAAGCCACTTTTAAGAGAACATACTCAGTAGAACAATTATCTATTGGAAAACACAAGTTATATTCGAAACAAGGCGGCTAGCCACACCTTTGATTTGTGACCCTGATACCAAACCAGCGTTGTTAGGTTCTCTCTTGATGAAGGGTTTTGGAGATGGTCGTCTTTTCAACATTGGGGTTAAAAATAAACAAAAATAGTTGAACGCACGATTTAGTCTTGGAAACTTTAAATGTTAGTTTTCCACTGTTTGTAATTGAAACCTACTATGACAGTAGCTGACTATGTCTTAGAAGAACACCTAGGAATGAATCGGTGCTTGTGCCGAAAAGCCACTTTATTACCGCAAAGGAAACTGTTTTCCGTAATAGAAGTTTTCAGCTGTGGAGAGGATAACGAACCAATTTCTCCAACGAATCTTGTTATTTAAGGCCGAAAACGTTTCGCACTTCTACCCCTAAATTCGAATAGTAATCAGTTTTTTCTAACTCACTGCATGAAACTTGGGTAGGGCCACCGGCGCCTTGACACCTTTTAATTTCTCTGTTCCAAGTTGAACTAGTATTAAGCAAATTTCACTCGCTTTACTAACTTAAAACTAAAATCTGTTTCGATAGAATCTCGGAAAAACTTGATACATACCTTTCTGGCAAGCGATTTCAATTCTTGTAAAGGAATTCGGTCATGAAGTTATTACTAGTTCTGCAAAATTTTTACTGTAGCCGTGAGCTGAAAACAATTCAATTACGGTTTCTTTTGATCCTATACTTATAAGCACTTCCAAACACCTACCGTCTCTGCATATGAATGCTATTGATCTTACTTAAACGTAATTAAATTGATCTTTTCAATATAAATAGAAGCACTTTGTAAGGTAGGATATGTTCAGTTTTAGCACTGGTCAAGCTTGTCATTTGTTGCACAGAAGAAGATTAAACCAAGTTCAACTGCAAAGTAATGATTGTCTATTCCTTGCCATACGTGCTTCAGAGTAACCTGTGTACAGACTCCCCCTCCCCTCAGTAAAAATGGAGGGGGCTCTGTACACAGGCTAGCTTCAGAGTACCGAGAATGCCTTCACAAGTGGAGGATGAGAATGCAACAATGTATAAAAGTCCAGGGAAGCTACTTTTGAGGTAATGTGGCTGTAATTCTTGAAATTGAAGGTGAAGCGTGGGAGGTATAGGTTACACAATGTAAGTGACAGAACTTTTTGATCCGCCCTCGTAATACTCCAGATAACTGTTTCTTCCCGTGCATTCACCTGCACCTGCACCTATCCCGAGTCAAGGGCGGATCTTTTCNAACTGCAAAGTAATGATTGTCTATTCCTTGCCATACGTGCTTCAGAGTAACCTGTGTACAGACTCCCCCTCCCCTCAGTAAAAATGGAGGGGGCTCTGTACACAGGCTAGCTTCAGAGTACCGAGAATGCCTTCACAAGTGGAGGATGAGAATGCAACAATGTATAAAAGTCCAGGGAAGCTACTTTTGAGGTAATGTGGCTGTAATTCTTGAAATTGAAGGTGAAGCGTGGGAGGTATAGGTTACACAATGTAAGTGACAGAACTTTTTGATCCGCCCTCGTAATACTCCAGATAACTGTTTCTTCCCGTGCATTCACCTGCACCTGCACCTATCCCGAGTCAAGGGCGGATCTTTTCCACTTTTGGAAATGTGCAAAACAATAGCGTGACGTCACAGATTGGCGGGTTAGAATATTCTCAAGCGGGGTTGAAATCTGTAATGTTTCGGGTTTTTCCAGTACTCTCTGCTCGCCTTTTTGTAACACAACGACGAAGAAGAAATGGTAGAAGGCTTGTGCATAGGACGATGAACAATGGATTTAAAATATCAGAAAAACCGAGATTTTTCTTTTGATGCACGTGTCAATTTTCGGGCAATTTTGCGTGTTATTATCATCTTCACTTTGGAATAACTCTCGTGAAAAATTTTTGCCGGTCTTAAAAAAATCCTCTGGACATTCTCGAGATATTCAAGCTGTTTCATGTGAAATGTGGAGTGAAATGTGGAGATGGGCCGCACTTCTGGTAGACGGGCTGCGAGATTTTTGTGTGAAGCAATCGTCTGCAGCAAAATGACCGCCTTCTGCGAGGCAGAGCAACACGAAGACAGAGGCTACATGTCCTATACCGTAAAATTCCGAAAATAAGCCCCTCTATGCATAAGCCCCTCCAAATATAAATCCCCCAAACTCGTAACGCAAAAAAACCCTTTGTTAAATCGCCCCTCCAAATATAAGCCCCCCAGGAGTTTGTACTTGGAAATTGCCCTCAAAATAGAAAGTAAAACAAAGCAAAAACGGTAAATTTCCTTCCAACCATAAGGCTAGCCCAATCGATTTTGAAACGCAAATTTCCCTCCATAGATAAGCCCCTCCGAATACAAGCCCCTCAAAAAGGGCCCTCGAAAAATGTGAGCCCCGGGGCTTATTTTCGGGATTTTGCGGTATGTTGGACGATATCAAGTGTTTTTTCCCGGTTTGTCCACTTGTCTACCGAATAAGCGCTGCACAACCCTCTAGAAAGGTGACCTTTGGGGCGCCACGGACCTAGCAACCCTTTCCCTCCATTTTATTTTGTTTTCAGCTTCTCTTAGGGCGCCAACCTTCAACACTTCAACCCTGTCCACTCAGAGATATTGTTCTCCTAACGCTTCTCTTGTCGGCCCCTTCTTCTCCCTCCTTACACTGTTCCGTGTATACGTACGGGATAATTTATGAAAAGACAAAGGGTCAAATCGATATCCCCTGAGACCTTCATTGGGAAAAAGAAGCATTCAAGCTAAGAAACGCTAGAAAAACTACTCCGATCCTTACCTGTTTACACAGGGCGAGTTATTTGTGCGAACCTTCAGTCCACTAAACGTTACGTGTATACTTGTCTACAGTCGTTGGCGCGCGAATCGCCGCCTTTACCGTTTACTCTGCCGTTTAATAATACTGTAGAATCGAATATTACTGTAACTTGTCACGGGATCGTATTACAAATCTAGTAATTCTGTATTATCCAATGCGCGGTGAGAACGAACGTCGCGCCTGAAGCGACGCATTCGCAAAGGAAAATTTTCTGGGCTAGGCATACGAAGGGGCGAGAAGCAAAGGAAACTTATTATCATCATCATTTTCTTTAGCATTATCATTATTATCATCATCATCATCAAAATAACATAATCAGAATAATAAAAAAATCAACTAAAAAATGTCACTTTGTAATAGTCAGTTCGATCGATCTATTATCAATTGTTCAGTTCTTTCTTAGAAGTTCCATTAACGCGTGACGAATGATTTTACTTCTCCAGCAATAAATAATAGGATTAAAAAGCGAGTTCAACATGATAAAAGAAAGCGTTACATGAGCTACACTAGTGGGTAACGGAAATGAAAATTCGTTTCCTATCCCTCGCAAAAGTCCAGGAACAAAAGACAATAACAACCCACCTAGTACAATTGTGGTTGTTTTCCAAGCTTTTCTTTCGCTCAAAAACTTTGCAGTGGCTTCACCTGAAACTTGTTCAGATTTGATTTGTTTCAAGTGTCTGCGACAAACAAAATAAACCGAGATATGGCAGTAAAAAATTACACTCATGAACGTTGCAATCAATATGAAAAGTGCAGGACCTGATATTTGTTCACCTGTTTTTTCGGTAAACCTAACAGCAAAATGGACTATCGAGGCAAGCCAACAAGTCACGGTTGCAACAATCAAGCGCTTCTTTTTTAATATGCTTTCGTACTGAAAAGAATATTTCATCGCTACAACACGTTCTACCCCAACGAGCATAAGATGAAAAAGAGACGCTGAGGAAAGGCTAGCTGTTGCTACCAGTGGTATGTTGATAATTTTGCAAAAGACCAAGGGCGATCCGCCGACCAAGTGGTAAATTAATCCTGTGATGAAAACTGGCTGGACAGCTATTCCCACCGCCAAATCTGTACCTGCCATAGAGGCTAGAATTAAGTGATACTTGGTCTGAAGACTTGGTTTAGTGCTGACTACAACTATGACAAGCATGTTTAGAAGGACGGTTGGAGGACATGCTAACAAGTTCAGAACTATGGAAGGCACCAAAAAACAATCATCTCTAAAATTGGTTTCGGATTTTCCAAGGCAGCTGTCAGCTTTCGCATCACTCAAAGTATTTTTAAATGAAGCATTAATTGAAGCAGTCATATCATAGTGAGTCTCCATCGTAGAACGAGTCAGTAATGCTTAATGCTGAATAATTCTGGCATATACAGAGCACCTCGCTGTTTAATGACAACGATGTGGTAACTTTGTGAAGTTTTATGTATTCTGGTGAGAACTGAACATCTGATGTTATTAGAACTAGATTCGGATAGACTTAAACGGCTTTGAGTCAAGAATATCGCTGTATTAAATAAGAGCTCTGAATAGAATGAGCTGAGAATATCTGTTGATTCATTGGGCCAAAAAATCTTTGGGCGTAAATTTACTTCAGAACAGAGACAATCAACATGAACATGAGAACTAAAAGTTAATTCCGTATTTTCTCTGCACTTTTTGTTTGACTTTTTGAATGACTACTTGAATTGTTTTTGTCGTTGCATTTTTAAAGGAAGTTTGAGTAACTACTTGAATTGTTATTGTTTTTGTTCGACAATCAGTTTAACATTTCTCGTTGTTTTCGTCGATCTTTTCTTTACACAAGAAGAAAGACCAGGGAAAGTTTAACCAAGTAAATGAGAATGAAAAAAAAACTAGCAGAAAGAAAACGAAAACGGAAAATATAAGCTACTAATCCCAGGACAGATCACAAAAAATTAATTTGTAATAAGCTTGTTTAATAAGAAAGCCGAAACAAATTCTCTCAGCTGCATTCGTTCTTTTGAGAATTAAAAACTCGGTAGCCAACACATAAAATTTTCAGCTTCTCTGAAAGAGAAACCATATTTATAAGAAATCATAGAAAATCACCTTGGACAAACTAAATATTTAAGAGCGCATAAATAATAAGCTGATATCACAAGGTAACAGATCAGATTTAGATTAAGACTCAGATTAGCGACTATATCGGTAACTTGTTAAAAGCTACTTTAGGTAAGCATAGCGTGACCGACATTTCCGATAGAAATTGATGAAAATATATTTTTGAAACTAATGAAAGCTGGTTTGATGATTTCAGAGGAAATGAAATTAAGTAAAAAATTAAGTACGTTTGTGGCATTTCGTTACGAAGATGAATTGTATCAGGAACTATAAGATTAGGTCTAGGTTTTATGTGCAATGTAATTAATGACAACCATAAATAAAGAGCGCAGCTTTTTACGCAAGCAGATTAAATCGGAGACCTATTGGGTTAGTATTTTTAGTCTCCTTGGGTTTCTCCTCTCCGGAGTGTGATCTTACTTATTTTTGGTTTAAACTGTTCAAGCTATTCTTCCCGGCTAAGAGAAATTTTTTTCATAAACAGAGGGCAAAATATCGTAAACTGCCGTTTATTAGCCTTGGGACTTATACATCTCCTCAAGGGCTTGTAGGAGGGATTGTTATATCCGGGGGGAGATTATGACCGGAATAGAAAAAGCGCATCGAAACAAACTACACCAGTGCTGGTCAAATACGTTTTGTATTTCCCTTTGTTTAAATTAACGTTCAAAACGACGAAAAAAATCAAATTCATTTCAATACAAGCTAGAGGGGGCTTATAATGGGATACATTTTTATCAGTTATATTATAAATGTAAATTGAGGGTGGGGGGAGGGGGGGTTATAAGAGGGGGCTTAATAGCGGCCGTTTTCAGTACTGTAACATCGTTTTGCTAAGGTGGAGAGACGATGAGACGTTACTGAGAGGCAAACATAAAACATCAAAAATTAAACCGCGGTTTCAAATCAACCTTAAGAGAAAAAATCCAGGTGGTAAATTTCCCCTTAATCTCTCTATTAACTCCATGGAGTACATTACATCTAAAATACCCTAAGCTCTTCCAAAAACCGCCAGAACGATTCTATGAAAAGCGTCTTAAGGCTTTTGTTTCATTTTTTAGCTGGCTCGACGTGAATAATGGGAGCCCTTTATTTAATTTATCATGCGAAAGTTTAAAAATAGATCTCTGCAGAATTTTCAAACATGGCAATTCACATTCTTATCACTTCGCAAACAACAGCGTAATGGCTTAAATGGAACCGTTAAAAGTTTGAATTGTTTCCTTACCTGAGAAAAAAAAGGCGAGCTTTGTTGTTTTCTGTTGACTCGCCAAGTTTATAACAGAAAAGGTTTGTTGTGTCGTTTTTCGCATGAAGTGCTGACAAAAATGGCGGCTCGGTTCCTCGAGGTAAGACGGCGTCTTCATGTAGCATTCTTTCTCCTATTTACTTGAAACGTAGAATTTCTGCAAATAGTTGCTCTCAAATTTGTTTGTCATAAATGAATCCTTCGAAGTCTTTTCTTGCCTAAAAAAAAAAGTCAACCCAAGGATTTTGTCGACTTTTAAAAGATCGTTCTCTAAGAAAATGGGAAAAAAACCGAGCTCACACATTATCCACTCGCTAGGAGGTGAACATTGTTGAATAGTCCGAGATTGCGAACCAATCAGATTGCTTAAATCACCAAGATCACCTTGTGTGTGTACTTAACTCCTTTATTAAAAACTAAATCATTGGATAATGCAGTTCTAGAGCTCTGATTGGCTTAGCCATCATGGTGTATGATCCATTATTATTCATTCAAAATATTTCCCCGATTCTGATTGGCTAAAAGCACACGCATAATTCCCCATAACCAGTTACTAATGACCAAATTTGGAAGAATTTTGTCTTTAACGAGGAAATGACGTCAAGAATGCAGCGTTCGCGCAGCTTAAGGCACCGTTAACCAAGAAGACCTGGGGACGAGGTTGAGTTGTTTTGGTTGTGAAAACAAAAAATGGCGGACATTTTCACTGTTTCAAGAGTGAGAACTAGGCGAAATTATAGCTAAAAACATAGCAAGAACAGCAAGAACACAACTCGAAGGGCGACATCTGCTGTTTGGAGAATATTTGCGGAGCTGAACAACCCTAAACGTGCACTATCGAAGGTGAACTTAACATCAATGGAGGTAAGCATGTTTTAGCGTTATTTTTAAGTTAGGAATTATTTTGAATGAATAATAAAACAGTTATTGAATTCGGCTTTCGTATCATATGAAGAATTATGGAGATCTTGGAGGGCGTTATCCGCTTCGGCCTACGGCTTCGACGGATAACACCCTCCTCGATCTCCATAATTCTTCATAAGATACTCAGCCTCATTCATTAATTGTTAATTATACCATACTCTCCAAATATGGTAACTGTACGCGTCTGCTCAGAATTAATTTCATTTGGCCTAAGTATTTGTTTTCACACATGAAGTCGGGACGAATTCTGGATATTTTGTAGGCCTTTTATAATAAAACAATTATACCACCCATTGTTAAATAGCCTGCGAAAACAGCCGTCCCTCCCCGCTCCTCGCCGCTTTGAACTTCCCTAGCGGCGAGGAGCGAGCTGAAGAGATAGCTGTTTGCCCAGGCTTCTATATTACCACCGTCTATGAAAAAGCACAGATTTCCGCAAGTATACTAGACGATTGAAGAATCTCTATGATGATTTAACCAGTCTTCTGTCTTATTTCACCTTATTTTGAATTTGTGGCGGTCATTACTCAAAGGCAAAATGGAGTCCAGAACCCTCCAGTTTGCTTAGAAACTCGCTTTCAAATTTCGCAGACAACTCAGGCGTAAAATCTTCCTTCCAGCCTCCGACCTGTCCTTTCCTAAGAAAGTTGGGCAATTTGTTGTCTTGAGTCATCATCCAGTAAGCTTCTGAATTTTTGACCATTTCGTCAAAGGAGCATTGCTTAGCGATGCGTTTAAGAACCTGTTCACTCAGTGGCTTTCCCAGGAAATCAGCTGTAATCGTCACCTGGGAAAGCAGATCCTGTCAAAACAAATAACAAAAGGAATGACTATTTTATTTAAAATTTTAACCACGGTAGATTTAGAAACAAAAACAAAAGAAGAAGAAGAAGAAGAAGAAGAAGAAGAAGAAGAGGAGAAGAGGCCCACTCATTCAACGAAGATTAACTCCATTATTTCTTTCCATGGTCATTCAAGATGCATCTCCCCCCCCCCCAAAAAAAAAAAAATTCCTGGTTCAGGCCTTTCAAGCAGGCTTTAAATATCTCAGTTTAGTTTCCTTATTGTTATACACTTCACAGTCTGCAATAGTTATAAAGTTACATCTATAATATTATCACGCTAGGGCCGGGATTATCACACACCTCTTTCAAGTCTTCATACTTAAGGAACAAAACGTTGGAATCATCTCTGTGTTCCCACCAGCCGAGCACATGCTCCAGCCAAGACCCCCAAAACGCTGAAATTAAATACAATAAGCTTATTTACCCTGATCATGAACGAGAGTCATACAATATACAAATTTATTTGCCCAATATTTCGACTGGACAAAACTTAGCCTGGGACCAGGTTCCGCATTGGGGGAAAAAAGAAAGAAATCGGCGTGGGCGAGAAAAAAATCGAGAGGTAGTCTAGGGAGAGAAAAGGGTGGCCCTTTCCTTCCTCCCTCGCTTCGCTCGCCGATATTTACATATTTTTCCTATTTGACCCCGTTTTTTGCCTTCCCCCCCTGCGAGCCTGGTCCCAGGCTACACAAAACTAGTCTTCATCAGGGGCTAGAAAAGCTAACTAAGAATAGAATAAACGGTTACAGTATTTAAAATAATGCATATATAAAAATAAAATGTGATTGGTGGAGAAAAACAATAGACGAATTTTTGTGTAAAGAGGTTACTATTAAAATTTATATCAATAGATCAAGTTTCATCTCGTCCGTTCCTCCCACAGGGTTCAAGTGTTTTGCCAACAAAAATTAAAAATCCTTCGCGGGCCTTATGAATACTGTCCCTGTGTTCGAACGAAATGAGTTCTATGTCCTTGATGGAATGATCTGGAAGAGAGAACTGGTCTGAAACGGCGGTAGGGTGGTTAAATTGATGTTGATTTAAGGCTTTTTCTATGGAGCGTGTTTTGATAAGCTTACTTTTTCCCTCCAGAAACATCTTAGCAAAAAATTCAAATGGTCCTGAATATCCAGTAAGAGGCGCCATCTTGCTTTCGAATTTGTAGTAAGAGACAGCGACATCTTTAGGATTTCTAGCAACGTAGATGTATTTTCACGCTGTGGCATCACTAGCTCCTTTAGGTATTGTATGATATGGCTGATGAGTCTTCATAAGGCGGGGACTTGGTTGAGTTGTAATGTCTGGCTGAGTAGTACCAAGACATTTGGCTTCATCAAAGAATTGTACGCGATGTCCTATTGGCTCACTACTGGTTTTCCCGCCATTGTAGATTTGCCACGTGATTTCCTGAAGCCACGTTGTTCCTGAAAATGAAACAATAAAAAGAGTCAAAAAGTACTCTGTTGTGTAGCTTTTACCGGCGGTGGGGGGGAGGAAGCACTTATGGAATGTTTGGCGGTTCAAGGCTTCAGGTCCAGAACGACTCCCTGTTCAAGACACTAAATGGTATATATATACGCTGATAAAAACTATAGACGCCGACAACCATATCCTGTTCCGCGGCACATCGCTGCTTAGGTCAAATAGGAGGATGCCGCACGACGAACTTTGCTGGAGGGAAAAAATTATGCTTATTGGGCGAGAGGTAGGCTTGCCTAGTCCCCGTACAGCGTCTTTCCAGGCCTTCTCGGTCAACGCCTTTTGGTGACGTATCCGAGACGAACGGCCGGGAGTCGCCTATTGAGACGCCTAGACAATCTCAGAGTGCGCATGTCTTTGTTTTTACCTCAAAACAAACAATATGGTGACCATTCCTTCGGCTTCCAACGCTATTTGGGAAACTTTCTCGGACAACGTGACCCGAAACGCATCGGCCGCGCACAATAATGAGGCCTAGGGACTAGGCAATGTTAAGGCCAAAGTTGTCCCAGGAAAGAGGGTCGCCCTATCCAGCTGAGTCGACTTTCATAGCGAGCGTTTATATGAGGTAACAGCGCTTGCGCATGCTCTGATTGTCTCGCCTTGACCGAGTTGACCCTGCTGGGCGAGCCAAAGTGTTTATATGCAGAAAAGTTTGTCCGGATAGGAGCCGAGCTCATATAAACGGCTCGCCGTGTTTTGAAGGGAAATGTAAGAACGGACGGCTTAAATGCAGAATACCCTGTTACTTGAATAATATTCAGACTTGCCACAAGTCTACCTCACGTCCAAGTTCCTAATTGAGCGGAACGACCACAAGTCTAGCCTCCCCACAGACGTCCTTTGGGGTTCGTTTGTCACGCATTCACAAACGAACCCAAAGGGACGTCTGCGGGGAGGCTACCACAAGTCGACCTCTCGAGTTTCTAAGCCAGCGGAGCAAGCTTTTTAATCCGCCAAGCTGCCGAAAGAACGACGAAGTTAAAAGTCTAGGACAATATTCTACGTAGCCGGCTACGAGAAACTAACTAAATAAAAAAACAAATTCAAAACGGCTTCCTGTGACCGCGTAGCCAACTGCAAGAATAGCCTTACATCTTCATTTCATTCAAGCCTTTTGTTATGGCCCGAACCATACCCATGTAATATTGGGGACTGGGTCGATTTGTATTTCTCGTTTGACAGGGTGGGGAATGGGAATGATCTCTAGAGCCTGGTATCTCCATAGATGATGTACTCAACATAAAAAAAAACAGTGAAATACAGTAAACAAACCCGCTTGAGCGCTCCCCTCTGTAACCAGCAAACACGTCAGTAGGTCTAAACATTTCTTCCCATAAAACAAACCAGTATTCAAGGAACATCTCTATTTTAAAAAGGGGCTGTGTCACGGCTGTCTAGTTCACTTTGTCAAATTGTTAATTACGCCCTAATTCGCATTCGTTATAGCCTAAGTATCAGGCCTTTTTAACGGGCTAGGGGAAAGGAGTTGCTTTTCTCTTCACCCCTTCCCCCCCAGAAACGCCTGATACTCAGGCTACATTCGTTAATTTATTATCACCGCGAAGTTTTCCCCTGATTGTACTCAACAAATGTTTATTATATACGGGGAGGCGCGCGGGGGGAAAATACGCCGGTCATATACCAGGGAAGTTGCTATGGGACTCCTTGGGAAAATAACTGATCGTATAACAGCTATCACATAAACAAATGGTCATTTGTACCCCTATAGATCTAAATCTTACCTGATCGTGGGATACCGACGATAAAAACATCGTCGATTCTGGTTTGAAACTTGTCAATGAACTCCTCAAATCCTGTCTCGTAAACATAGATGAGAGGCATTCTCACTCCTTTGACGAACGAGGTTTTGCTATTTCGATAGTCTCCCTCTACTTCTTGTATAGGATCTTTGCTTGCCATGAAGGAAAAATGGTTATAATTCTGCTGTTTGCAAAGAAATGGGAGAGAACTGATATCCAGTTTAATTGAATTCTTGGCTGAAATAAGCCTCCCCGCAGACGTCCTTTGGGGTTCGGTGACAAACGAACCCCAAAGGACGTCTACGGGGAGGCTAGGCTGAAATGAACGAGCAAAAAGAAAAGAAAGATCCCAAACCTCCTTTAGAGTCAGCATAAAGGTCATAAAGTAGCCTGAGTATCAGGCGTTTCTGGGGAAAAGGGGAAAGATGGAAGCGACAAAGGGAGAGAGCTGAAGGAGAGAAACCTTCCTTTCTCTTCTCCCCCTCCCCCCTCCCCCATCTAAAATCTCCTCTCCCCTAGCCCCTAGGAAGGCCTGATACTCAGGCTAGTCATAAAGTAACATAGGTTCAGTACTCTAAAAGATCATTTGATTACCTTCTGAGCGTCAGATTTCACGTGTAGTTTCACGTGACTTTTGATGAACTTTGGGGGTGTTTACATGACACCGGGGCGACTTTCGCCCCGGAGCGAGTTCACTCCGGTTCCCTCTCATGGTTCTATATTTGTGTACATGATTCTAACACAAAATGTCATACCAGCGCGAGTCACCCCGGCGTGAGTTCACCCCGGTTCTTGTACCAGGGCGAGAAATTCACTCCGGTACGAAATCTCGCAACGCGAACCAGAGATCAGGCTCTGATGAAAAATTATCGGGGCACTCTGATTTTAGCCCTGACCCAGAACTTCTAACACCCACAGAATCACGTTTGAGCCGTAGATCTTTTTTAGATCCGATATGCTGTAATTTTTGCATGGTTTTGTCAGGGGGGTGGGGGGCACGACTAAGCGAAATTTCGTATATCGATGATCCACCGATTTATGACATCACATCCGGTTGGATAGTGACGCGAGGCACCGAGATGGACGCCCGATGCTATTTAGTTTCCTCGTTATTTTTACCTACAGGCTAACGGAATTATGTATCTTGAATGCCGAGAATGTTGAGCAGGTATATAGCCGGCCTTTCAAGCAAATTTCATGACCAAACAAAGAAGATTTAGTATTATTTTAACTATAAATATCATGTAGCTTCGGGGAATGTAATGGCGAGTCTTGCGATGTTTCAAAACGAGTGTAGTTAACGTTTTGCGGCTGTTGCGGCCTCTGATTTAGAGAAGTCATCAATCAAAATATAATTTCCTGAGCGGAATAAAATGGGGAAAACGTCTATGGCCACAGTTTAAAGTGTTCGCCGCTGGAATGCACGCAGGCTACTGGAAGGCTGGATCACGCCCCGTAAAGTTGCAGAAACTTCCACTCAACTGCATGGTTTTGAGGAATGTCATGGCGAGTCTTTCGCTGTTTGTATAAATCGAGCGTCACTCAAGAGTTTGGCTTTTGCGGCTTCTGATTCATCGAAGTCATCAATCAAAATTGCCTACCCTGAGCGAAATAACGGGGTCACAGTTTAAAGTGTTAACAGCTGGAAGGCTTTATCACTTTATCACTTATCAAGTTGCTGCTAGGGTTTAGTCTTCTGCTGTTCGAAGACCCTCTGGCATGAGATAGCGGGAAAATGCTACGATAAATAAAGAACAAGTGCAGACAAAGTACACCGATGTAATTAGAGCGGTTTTCACTTGACTGTCGACAGTAATTGAGGAATTGGTTTGGTTTTGGTTTTACTACGCCCTTTGGTTGGCTAGTGTATTACTTCGGCAGCACTAAAACATGGAATCCGGAATCCGGAAACGGAAACGGAATCACGGAAACGGAAACGGAAACGGATACGGAATCTGTGAAAGAAGGTTCCAAGCGATCGATTTGAAAAAATATATATTAGCAATGACAATAAAATAAATAAACAGATAAAAAAAAAGACACAAATGAATAAATTAGCTGAGAACAGAAGAGGAGACTGCTGTATCACTAGAGGAGTCGATTCCGGTGAAAAGACGCTTGATACCACTATTGGCAATAAATGCAAATTCTCATGGGACAGCAAAGCGAGGAGAAAAACGTTACTGACAAAAACTAGTGCCATTTTAGAAAAAGGTAAGTTATATGGAGACAGACTTCGTTTGAATCGTCAGAGGCGTCGTTTATATAACTGAAAGGCGTCGCCGTCAAGTTTTTCTTAGTGTCTTTTCTGGGTTGTCTTCAACAGTGTTCAGTTTTATTTATCAAGACAACTTACTCAAGAGAACCATGGCATTGTGGAGTCCAAAGAGAAGAGAGAATTGTGCATGCATTTGCTTGATTCCGCAACCGATTACATCAAAATAATGCGCCATGTTTAATAAGCCTCTTCAACAAAAATACGGACGTCCACGTAAACTCAATTACCGGTACACCAGTATTCCATCAGTATTCAGCTTGGCGAAAAAGTT